TCGCAGATTCCCCTAACAAATACCTCCTTATCTGCCCTCAGAGCCCTCACAGCCGTCCTTCTCAATTCCCGGTAAAGACTGGAGTTGCCATCAAGCAGTGCACTATGACTCCTCTCCATAATATCCAGGGTGCAAAATGAAGCACCTCCTTCTGAAAACACTGGCCACACCAACACAACCCTCAGCAACCTTCAGGGTCTTGTCACAGAAGGTCTCCCACATCACATTTGAATCAGCAGTAGCCCCAAGTCTGCAAGTTCCTCATACAAACTGTGTGGAAACTCATTATAAACAGCCTGATCTTGGAATCTGATCTTGAAAGTCCAGCCTCATCCTCCTAGTAGGTGGTAGCCCACTGGACCTCAGCTGAATCTTCAGAGTAGCAACAACTCTATGATCAGAAAGTACTGCAAGTGACAGAAATTACTGCAAGTGACAGAAAGTACTGCAAGTGACAGAAAGTACTGCAAGTGACAGAAAGTACTGCAAGTGACAGAAAGTTCTGCCATGACATTATATACATTACAGTAGCCCTCAGTGCAATAACTCCAACTGCACCTATAACTAGAAAAAAGTTTTTAAAATGTTTTGCAGGGATCAACCATGTTAATAATATATTGCAAAAATGGAAAAACCACTATAAAGCATCAATGATATGATATTAATCAATTTCTTATAGGGAGAGACTGATTTGTTTGATTTTTCATTATAAGAAAGACTGTAGAAAATAGATTTTTGCAACACTTTCACAAAGCAGAAATATGTCAATAAGAAGATAGGATGACCACTGATAACTTGACATAAAATTAACCTTCTGAGGGCTGATGACAGAGTTTCAGCAGAACTAGGGTAGCACTGTCCTACTATTAGTAAAAGGCAACGGGACCATGACCTCAGCTATCTCAAATGCAATAATACTCCACACATATAACAGGAATAGCACTGGCAACATTACAATGTTATATTCTAACACAGTAGGTATATAACAGAATGTTTAACTGTCATTTACTGCCATTTTATGTACCACTCTGGACATATTTCATGTAGGATCGGAGCACAAACTGCAGGTTTAGGGCCATGATATTATATACAATACAGAAGCACTCTATTCAATAACTCCAACTGCACCTATAAGTAGGGGCTGGTAGGGGGTTGTGTTCTTTAATTTCAATGCAAAAAAAACACATTCAGTTTACATTCTTTGTTCTTTGTTAAGTTGTATCTAGAAATGAACTGTTACATCCCCAACAATTACATTTTTTTAAATAGTTTGAAAAGGCTAAATAATTATTTCTGCAAACCTTTCATGTTTGCCTCTAAGAACATTTAATGTCATCTACGGATTCTTCACAGCCCACTGCTTGTTTCAGTGATCAACTATTGTTGTAAAAATATTGTATTTGCTTTATGGAATTTTATTATTATGAAAATTGAAATGTTTACAGATGTACTATTCTGAAATTCCTTCTTTCTGCATCTTGCCTTTCTTTCACAATTATTCTTCAGTAATATTGAACATTTTCTGAATTTGTTATTCTAAAAGGGCTATATATGAGAGTATTTTATTAAAAATAAATGTTTGTTCCAAATATCAAATCACATTTAAATGTCCTGTCACTGTACTGCTTCATTAGACATATTTCAAGAGTTTGCCTGCAGTCCCAAAGCCCTCTTCTGGTTCCAGTGCTTAGTAAGCTTTCTATTCTGGATTGCTGCTCACACATCTCATCTTTTTCACCAGAGGCTCTTTACTCTGACACCTTCTCATTTCTCATGACACAGTAGCATCCACAGAAATAAAGTGCAGGTGAGTGCCCTGAAGCCCAAACACAACCATAGCCACCTGACCAAAATACAGTGACTAAAGTGACAGGATTATTTCAGTCCTATCACTAATTTCCAGGTATAGATGATGTTCAGGACTGAATCTAGGAGAGTGGGGGCCCCTGAGTTAAAGTCATTGTTGGGCCCCTACCTGCAGCATAAAATGCTACTGTAACAACCAGAAAAACATGAGGCCACCTACAATCTGGGGTACTGGGCTACAGCCCAGCTCAATAGCCCAGCTACAGCCCAGCTACAGTCCAGCTGAATAGCCTAGCTACAGCCCAGCTCAATAGCCCAGCTACAGCTCAGCTCAATAGCCCAGCTCAATAGCCCAGCTCAATAGCCCAGCTCAATAGCCCAGCTACAGTCCAGCTCAATAGCCCAGCTACAGCCCAGCTCAATAGCCCAGCTACAGTCCAGCTCAATAGCCCAGCTACAGCCCAGCTCAATAGCCCAGCTACAGCCCAGCTACAGCCCAGCTCAATAGTTCAGCTACAGTCCAGCTCAATAGCCCAGCTACAGCCTAGCTCAATAGCCCAACTACAGCCCACATCAATAGCACAGTTACAGTGCAGATTAGCCTATGCATAAGCCCAACTTTGATGATGATTTCCTTAATAGGAAGCTGATACCCTTGTATTTCTTGCCTTCTGGGCACAGAGGCAGGTAAGGTTTCCAGTGAACAAAAATGTCTGCCCTACATCTATGCCACCTGTGTCACCAACATAAAACAGACACAGAGCAATTGTCAAAAACAAACATATATTCATGAATTGACCATTCATATTTACAGAGCCACTAAACTGAATCAACATTTCTCAAATTAGTTTTTTTCTGTATCCTGATACTTAAGATATATAATTTAATTGTTCACACAGATACCATGAGATTTTGTTGGTACTATTTTGCATATTGGTACATTTTTTTGTAAATGCTATTATGCCCTAATGAGAAAACACTTAAACTCCTCATATTGTATGTTAAGAATTGTTATTGAGCTGTCATTTTTAACTGTAAAATTACTTCCCAGAATATCTGTGTTCTGTGGAAGTAATGTTGTTTTTGTTCAAATGGCTGTTTTACTTTAGTGTTTACGGTTTCAAATATCTTCATTCCCAGTGGATGAACAAGTCTTTAGCTTTAGCCAGAGTAACATGGCATTTCATATGTTTACAGTAAAATATTTTGTGAAAATGATATGAATGTCTCAAGCATAATATTACTTACATACATACATATATACATACAGCGAATGTAGAAATTTAAACAAATATGTTAATTTGTCCAAAATCTTAAAATCATTTCATGGAAAAAGCATTTCACATGTACAGTGGATGCTTGTGTATGTGACATACAAAACAGAGCATAGTTCCATACATACTTTTAACATAATCTTGCAAATATAGAAAAATAATCATGGATCTTGTGCTTTTTCTACTTTTTGCATCAGTTCAAAGAAAAGATAAGCAATGTTGTATATAAGAAGTCTACATTTTTAATCTGAAATCTCTGGCAGATGTGGGTGGTCTATGTCATAAAAATAAACTTAATTTTTAGACTTCTTTTACACTATGATGTTGAACAATCTAACAGAAATTGAGTTAATCAAATTCTTTGGTCACTTCATTTGGGTTCATTGGACTTGTATTGATTTGTATCTGTCACTGACAATAGGAAAGGCCTAGAATGTTTCTATTGATAACATGTCAGTGGTTTTGTGGGACTGAACTTAGCCGATTCACCCATCATTAATTAGTCTTCCTCCAATGTTTGAAGGCATCTGCTCCCAAATGCACATCACTTCTCCATTCTTTTACTTTCTCTCGATTTCTTTCACTAATGCAAAACACCTAAACTGTATCTTGTGTTTGGTAAGACAAGAATATCCAGAATCAATTAATTTGCCCAGCACATTCCTTTGAAGAATAATATATTTATGCAGCACAGCAATTGTCTTATGCTGTATCATTGTACCTCATTAATATCATCTTCCTATAGCACAAGTCATAATGTTAATCAATGCTTCCTATTCAATAGCTGTGTATTATTGTTGTTGTCTTACATAAAAATATATATATATAAATTACTGTTAATTATGTTATTTTCAAACATCATATGGTAGAGACTAGTTATTCAGTAATCAAAATATGATTATGCAACTGTATAAATATGATCTATGGACAAAATCGTATTAAGACATTGCATTAATCTACCACCATATTTAATTAATCGACTGTATTGTCATTCAGCATTGCAACATATATTGCACCATAAAGAGTTTCAAATTCTGGTCATTCTGGGCCCAACAAGGTCTACTACTTAAATTATATTGCTTCGAAACCCCTTTCTCTACACATTGTAGCATAATGGCTGCCCACTTTTTGTTCATATCGCCCATCGTGGTCCCAGCGCCATTTTAAATAAAGACGACAGCAACCATAACATCTGTTAGACAACACGCTTTCCGTGACCGCTTTAATATTAACTCAGCTGAACGTCGTCTGAATTTGTTTCATTCCAAATAGACACTAGTAACAAAGACGCTCCGTGATTTATTTCTGTGTTACGGCAGTTGCGTCCTCGACTGACCCTTTCCATTTGTAAAGGAATTTGATATATGAATTGTGCACTCCTGACGAAAACGCTTTTGTTATGACACTTAAAACTTCGCACGTAAGAACATATTCGCAAGGCATCGCGCAACATAATTATTTTATATAGAACGGGCAACCTGTATTTTATACTATTAATACTGAATCCGGAATTGAACATGGTATTCAAATTACTTCAAAATATGTATTTAGAAATATGGACAGTATTAGTATTTAAAATTAAACTTTAAATGAAAGATTTTAAAACCGATATACTCAAATTCAAAGGTGCGTTTTATGATTTGAAAATAATAACAGCAAATATCATAATGTAACGAATACAAATCCCACTACATTGTGTACATTTTTGAATAACGTTATTGCATTAATATTCTAAGGAATTCATATACACCATTTCATCGATCAGTTTACTTTAACCAATAAGTTGTATAACCATTCTTAAGTAGACCCTTCGGGTTTTTATTACAAATCAATAGCGGTGGCTGAGTTTAAAAATAATTGCAATGAAACGACGGAAAATCTACTGTTCATTTAAATATTTTTGAGAATTAAAACACACACTTAATCTTATAAATTCTTTATTTCACCTATGAAAATAATGTACAATAAATAATTTCCATTTACTATTAAAGAATCTCAATAAATAAACTAATTCTAAAACTTAAGAGGGAGGAAACCCTCCTCGTAAGAATTTCTAAGAATAATCTATCCAACAATTCCTGAGATTTAGACGATTGAGTTTAGGCTATACTGACCATTTTCCGCACATTGTCTATCATAATCCTAAATTACCTTTAACTTGACGATAAAATTAAATCAATTAAATACCTCATATTTGGACAGGTAGGTCCTGGCTGGAATACAATAAAATGGTACATGTGGATGAACAATCGCTTCGATCATCGAATGCGAGTAAGTTGTTAAAATATTTAAACAGTCTGGCTATTCTTTCCAGAAATACATGTACAAAACAACTCCAAAGAAATAACGTGATATAATTATCAATTCTGGGAAATGACTATCCTCTTTTGCACCTTACATTTACGTTAGAACTGTAGATGCTGCAAATCTATTGTACAGAGAGTGCTCGTGAACAAGTCAAAGTCCTCTTCAGAAAAATCTACCGGGCTGTCGAGTGAGCTCTGCAAGCTAGGCGATAGCGCATCCGAAATTTGAAGACAGGAATCGGAAGAATAGAAATTCAAATCGGAGAGCTGGGCGGCATCACGAGACTCTGAAAATGAATTATCTGGCCCAGATGGAGATCTATCACCCATTGTTGGAAGGCTAACTGCAGTGGGCGTCGGGTAGAGTGGAGATCTTGCGGTTTTGTCGGGGGAAGATGGAGCCTTCCGGCTGGTTGACTCTGTCTTCTCGGGAGTGGGCTGGTTATTGTCATTGCTGTTAGGGTACGAAGAAGGCTCTTTTTCCAAGCTTGCAGACACTGATGCATCTATAAACTGATTTGAGAAGGGGGACGCGGCATCCGCACCCTCCAAAGATTCGAAACCACCGTTTTCGCTTTCTTGGCCGTCCTTGTAATGTGTTGTTTGCCGCTTGTGCTTCATCCTCCGGTTCTGGAACCAAACTTTAACTTGTCTTTCAGTAAGATCCAGTAAAGCGGCAATCTCCACCCTTCGAGGACGGCATAGATATTTGTTGAAGTGAAATTCCTTCTCCAGCTCCAAAAGCTGCGTGTTTGTGTAGGCTGTCCTTAGTCGTCTTGAGTTATTTCCGTTGTCCTGTCCGCTTGCAGACTCTGCAATTGAAGCAATACCAAAGAGAATATAATGCGTAAGAAATAAATACAATAATAAATGTTCACAGTAAATGTTCTTGGGAAAAAATGCTGGAATTGTGGCTGTGCTAATTTACACACATTTCTTTTTTCTTTTATGCGACCAGATTATCATTCCAGCAATGTTTATTGCGTTTTTCAAGGCTTACTGAGTAAGACACTGTGAAATTTAATACCTCTAATATGACCACTTCATGCCTTAGAGTGGTAATAATAATAAATACCTCATAAAGACCGAACCCGCATTTTAGAAGCCTATGTACATTACGCGTTTGCTTGTCAGTTATACGACGTGGCTATGTTTGCCATTTATAGAAATGTCTGGATTCACAGAATAATGTTCACGTTCTTAAACTAGTCGTTTTGTAGAGTACAAGCACATAGGCTACTGTGCGAAAATGACATTAATAAAATACACTTTACTCTAAAACGAAGCCGAATTTAATAGACATCTGCCTTGATGGGTAAACAATTAGACTGTAATCCATTTTCGGCTATGATTTATAACCGGATAATATTTAAAATACTACTGCTTTATAAATTAAAACGCAAACAATTATTATTGCTTACGAATTCAATGCACAGTCTGTGTTAGATTCAGAATAGGAAAAGACGGGAAGCGTGCAACGTTGCCGCGAAATGTCATAAAACACAAAAATCCACAGGCAAACCATGTCTGCAACAAAACTCATGTACTAACCTGTCGGAGATTCCAGCCCCGAGACTACAAAGCCGGAGGAGGCTGAAGGTGGGGAGGAGGCGGCAATGGCTTGTCCCTGTTGCTGGCTCTTTTTCGAGGATTTCTTCTCCTTCATCCATGGAAACTCGGGTGCCAGCGAGCCGTTGCTCGCCGGCGGTGCCTGGCCTTGCGGTGGCGGTGTCCGGAGGAGGAGGCCATTTGAAATTCTTTTTTGGCTTCTCGGTCGTGCCTGGCTGCTAGAGCAAGGATTCAGGCTCGGGATGGTGTGCTCAAAAGGAGGAGGAATTAATGTCGAGTCCTTGATTGATGAAGTTTGAAATGACTCCAGTACAGCGGGAAAAGACGTCAGGCACTCTGCTAGGGAAGGCTGGCTGTTTATGAACCCAATTTCCCTCTCAAATTCAAAATTCATAGCTTCTTCTGATGAAAACACTAGTGAGGTATTCAAATAAACCTATTTTAAAGCTGCAATTGTCCCGATTACGGTTTATTAGTAGGCTTCAATAATTGTGTTTAATAGTGATATTACAGGCGTATGGGGACCTTGGTCTTCTAAACTGGAGACAAGGGCGAAATTACAGCCAATTCCTGGTCACATGGTCAAAACAACCAATGGTAATTCAGGGCCTGGTGGAAAAAGAAAGCATTATTTTCTCAAATTCTCAAAAACACAGAATATTAAATGTGTACCTATGGGGAAGAAGGGAGGTAAACGTCAGTAAAATATTTGGTTTTGTCTGTCTCTAAACGTAATGTGAAAATTTACTGATGCTCAATTAAAAATGGATAGATCTCTCTCTTCTTCTGTAATTCATTACCAAAAATGATCGCAGAAATTACAGACACTGCACAGCAAAAGCTGCTGGTGTTTTTGTCGTCTTAAATTCTTGAAAGATCAACAGCCATTTATCTGAAAACAGTATATAGCATTATAATATTGTAACATTTTGCAAAGAGCCCTTGTGGCAGGGGTTTTTAATTAATTATCTTCAAACGATTATCAGAGGCACATGACGTTGTCTTCTAGTTTGCAGTATATTGATGTTGGTTAAATGTGTCCGATTGTATAATTCATTAGGTTGCTCAAATAAATAGTACAGTTATTCGGAAAATTATTTTAATTGAAAACAATTTATTTACATTCGGTACGAATAGTGGTCTATGCACTGATCTAATTTCGAATGTTTGCCACCCAGAAATAAGCAGGTACCTTTATTTAGATCAACTATTGGAAAGGAAAACAGTGAATTTTATGTAAATACGGAATATGAGAGTAGCTGTTAGAAATTTTCAGAAGTAGTTAGAGAGATATTTTTAGAAACGAAATGGTATAATGGCAGTGATCAATCTTTTCCTCGGCAAAGCGCTTGACAGCTAACGCGGCAACCACCCTCAAGAATTTATCTCTGTACCTCCTGTTCAAAACAAAGAAAACCCTCTCTCCTGCCTCACGGAGCGAGATCTTTGTTTCTGCAAAGTAAATGTTACCCAAGAGGTGTAACAACGCATATTTATACATCACGAGGTATGTATGTGGCGTATTTGTAGGAAACTGGAATTGGCTGATCCGTGTATTTAATCGCCTTTAGAAACTGTGCAATTGCGCAATTTCTCGTAAAGGAGATCAGAAAATGTGTGTGGGTGTTAGAAGCATTCAAAAGGAGCACAAAGCAAGTGCCGGCTACATTCAAGGGAACCGTGAAACAAGATGAAGCAAACGAATATGATTCTGGGAGTCTTCTCCTGACATGTTTGGCAATTATTATTATTATTATTATTATTTTTATTATTATTAGTAGTAGTAGTAGTAGTAGTAGTAGCAGTAGTAGAAGTAGTAGTAGTGGGAGCTGTAGCAGTAGTGTGTTAAAATCAGCATAACTTGGAAATTAGTTTTGTCTGTCCAGTTGCACTGATGTTTAGGTGTATAACGGTATAAAAGATCTTGATTTTACATAATGATATAAACGTACTTGTATAAGTGAGCTGAACACTTAAATGAAACGACTTCGACAGAATATGTGGCAAAATATACAGATCCGTTGTCATTGTTATAATTTGTTAATTTGGCTTTAATTGTGCCACCACTCCAAATCATCATTTTTGGCGGTTCCCTTATTATTGTTTTCCTAGAGATACACGTTGGCACAACTGTAAAGGACATAAAAGCAACACTTAAAGGGTTCATCTTAAAACCAAGGAAATATACTACTGTGTATCTACAATATGAGATGCAACGTGCATAAACCATTAGTATAAAATGTCCAATGAACACAGAGATGCAAATATCCAGTTTGATTTTAACTAAAACAGCCAAAATGTTCTATTGATACATTAATTATATATAATGTAACCACCATTAGCATACTTCGTTGTATAGCTGTTTTTCATTTATAGGCCTAATACAAACTTAGTTTAGAACATAACCACCCTTGAATTAATAAAATATAGGAATTCCCAGAATTGAACTTTAAGATTCATAAACGGGGAGGTCTGAATGTATATTCTTTGTATATATTCCAGATAAACCCGTGAGCCTACAATGGCATGATACCACGTGACCTGCAGACGACAGCGAAGAGGCACTCGATGCTTACTGGGACTGGCCTCACTGAAAGCACTAGCAAGAGGATTTAAAGAGCGCATGCTCCGATGGAAGACTTAGATTGAGAAACAACGAGTATATGCCCTTTATAGTACTTTGTGCGTAATTCAGTGGGTCTCCGTGTACAAAGAGGACAGTGGTGTTGTGGAAAATGATTACGTATTCTCACTTGTGGCGCTTAAAAGACCAACGGAACTGCATAACAGAAATTTTTATTTAAGAATTGTTCCACAGACAACTCTTAGCAAGGAAATAAATGTATCTACCAAGAACAAAGGCTCTCAAACAGAGTTTTAGCTAATTCTCGACTATGCAGTAACAGTCAGTCTGATCCCGTCCTCATGCCTCCAGCAAACCCCAATACATTATTTTTTATGTACAAGAATAACATAAACTACTAATTTCTAAAATACAATAACTAAAATAAATGTGCTTACAATGACAATAACACATCTTTTATAACAGGTAAATACTAAAAAAGTACATTTTCTTGTTATAAATACATAATATTGAGGGGATAAATAATAAAAAAGAAATATTGGCTATAACAAATAAATATATATTTATGAATGCTCACTCTAACACATAAGAAGACACCCACGATTGAGCTGCTTGGGCTCTTCCATTTCAAAATATTTTTATCTACCCTTTAAAATGTAAACTCTAAGTGCAACAATGATGCCCAGACAAGAAAGCTTCAGTGAACGTTTGGAAGCCGTCACAAGCTTAATATCTCGGTCATACATTTTGTTCAAATATACCCTGTTTTCACGTTAGGTCAAGAAAGGAAAGGAGATGGCCTTTTATAAGTGAACTTTAGAGAAGAATGGCCTAATGTATGAAAACTTGAGAGAATATGCTTCAGATAAAGGGAGAAATGAAGGTAGTACATATTTGGAGTCTAACGCAAATACTGTGCTTAAGACAAGGCAAATATTTCCAGAATTTATCGACATTTTCTGGATGCTAACATTTACAGATAGCAACCCCACAGTATGAACAAGAAGTGATGGGCATTCAGTAATGTTAGAGAACACATGACCTTTCCCCCCTTGTATTGGCACAGAAGAGTTAATGCGTTTACTGTAGGTTGGTCAGTTAAGGTGATAGGTTTAGGTAAAGAGGTAATATGAAAGGGAAAGTAAACTAAAACAATCCAGTGGTTTTCTGCAATAAGCAGAATAGCTTTGTGTGTGTGTGTGTGTGTGTGTGTGTGCGTGTGTGTGTGTGTGTGTGTGTGTATATATATATGCATATATGTATATAAACATATATACACATATATACATACATATATGTGTATATATATATATATATAAAACATTTTTAAATCAAATTTAAAAAACTCTAGACTATTACACATTTTCATACGTGCTTGTAAGTTGTGCAGAGTAATAAACCAGATTCATTTATCAAAATGGCCCAATGCAAGTAAGTTATGTCAAAAGAAAAAGAAAAAAAAACTGTGGGATACTTCACCACTTTCGACTTTTGTCATAATTCTAAGAGGGGCCTTAATAGGTGTTGGCAGCAAAAATTTTAAATGCAATTAAATTTACGATTAATATCACTTAGAACAAAAACATGGCAACATCAACAGGGACATATTTAGACACTATACGAAACCACTGGATCATTTGATAAATCCCGTTGCAGCGCCCCATGTATTAATATAATTTCTTTTCCAAACCTGCTACAGATGCGTTAGCTTGGGAGCCTCCTGGATTCTACCCTGAGAAGGATGGTGCGCTGAAAGGTCTGTGTATGTTGGGTGGGAGTCACATGGTCCATGATGCTGGTTACTTGGCATCTGTGCTGCACCATTGTAGTCAATATTATTAGACTGGTGATGTGGCAGGTGATTGAGACCATATAGAGATGGCCCTGATGTGGGAATTGAATCCATATAGTTTCCTCCAACATACACAGGGCTACCCTGAATATTCGGAGTCCCATAATTACCACCGTTACCCTGTAGACCATGAGGGTCATATTCTGGTGCTGTATTGCCATACTTCTGTTGAGAAGGACATGGTTTCATAGGGGTTTGGTAGGCTGTTGACATGGCATAAGAATTCTGATGAGGCTTATTGAATGATGGTGGAGAGGTGTCCTCAAAGGTACCACTCATTGAATGCATGGGGTTCATAAAACCAGCAGATGATTGCATGGGGAGGGGGGGGCTTCCAGTCGGAGACGCACCACCAGAGGAGGAGCCCATTCCCTTCAATTTTTGATCCTTTTTGTACTTCATTCTTCGGTTTTGGAACCATATTTTTATCTGTCGCTCACTGAGATTGAGTAAGTTGGCCATCTCCACGCGCCGCGGCCGGCACAGGTACCGATTGAAGTGGAACTCCTTCTCCAGCTCCACCAGCTGCGCGCTCGTGTAGGCTGTGCGCGCTCTTTTGGAAGCCGCCGAACCCGGAGGGCTTTTCTCACCACTGCAGCTCTCCACTGGGTGGAAATGAAATGAAACATAATTACTAACTTCAAAAATTGAATGCACCATTTACTAATAAACCATGGAAACTTAACCCCTTTATATTAGTCCTTTCTGTTTCCTAACTGGCATTTATTAAGAGCACTGAGCTCAACACTGACCTGGTATATTTAAATTGCATCAGCCGCCGTAGTACTGAGAATAGACACACTTAGGATCAGCAGCTTAATTAGTTTTAATAGGTAAAGCCTATTAAAACTGTCCGAACATTTTTAAATCATAATGCGACAGTTACGTTTAAGAATTTTACCGGCTTTGACACATTTCAGCGAAAACTACAAAATGTTAAAACAGATAACAGCAGCTCTTTAGTAGAACGTACTAGTTCTGACGATTTACAAATATTGACCCAGCACTACAACCAAAATGTAACGGCTATTTTAAAAAAAAAAAATTCGGTGAATTTATATCTTTAATGACTTCATCTAATTGTTCCTTACGCCTTTTCGGGAGCAAGGCATTCTGTGCAATGTGCAAAATCTCCTTGCATTGTTCTGTGTCTAAAATAAGTATGGTCAATATCAGTGTTTCTGTTTGAAAATGACATTCTGTGGTGTACACCTATAAACACAGCACATGAACGAAGCAGTCGGAGACACACCGTTGGCTGTACTTGCGCATGGGGAGCTGTTTTTCTGTTTAGAGTTCTGCCTTGACTCTTTCATCCAAGGAAAGATCTGTTTGGCGAGGGTGGCGTTGGGAGGGAGCGTGGGGGACTTGGTGGGGGCTGCTTTTGCGTTGCTGCTGCTGCTGCTAGCCGGCTGTTGCGTTGTACTGCTGTTGGTACTGTTGGATGGATTCTGGGGAGGGGAGACTGGGGGTGCTTGATGATGTTCAGGTGGTAGACTGTGGCGCATGCAGCTCCCATTGATTTCTTTCGTCTTCGTGTGCTGCTGTGGGGTGCTGTTGCCAAGGGACTGGAGGGAACAGGCGGATCTCTGGTAGTCGCTCTCCAAGTGCCCTGAGGACTGGTATACTGGTTGCGCGGCATCATAACCAAACCCGTTGGCTTGGTACGAGTAGCCTCCGAAAAGTGTAGAGTTGTCGTAATAAGACGTTTTCTGCATTTCCGAAAATATTTTCACCAGCTACCAAGGTCTTGACGACCTTCTGGAAGAACATTGGCACCAGAGGTCACGTGACAGTCTCTTTCCAATTGCCTCTTGGAAGCTGACCTGAAGGGTTATAAGAATCAAATAAGAGAAGCTCAGGCATAAATCCATCTTCACCACTGAAAAGCGTCATGACATGAATAGCGAGTCTCCAAATGCGGCTTACATTGTTAGATGGAGCTAGATTTATTTTCTGCTCCTTCCCCAAAACCGCTTACAAAATTGAAGAGCAAAGTGTACTAACCATCACGAACAAATAAACGTGATTTATCTGAAAGTGCAATTTCCACATATTTAATTTGTATAATTTGATTTGATTATTTCGTTACCTATTTACATGCATTCTGGTTTTACTTTCTTTTTTCATTCGTATATTTTTTTCATATAAAGTATAAATTATTGCGCTGTAATTTTAGTATGAGAATACGTTGTTTCCCAGAATTAAATCGCATTACATGTAATGGCAAAATTAAGTAATTTTGGTATTGTACCATATATTGATTCAAGTTTTGTTCATTTTATGTAATATTTTCTAAACAAAAAAATCATTAACTCGAGGAATAATCATCATTGGTGTGTAATGTCCTTATAAAATAGTATAAAATACTAATAGATTTTATAATAGTAATTCATGCAAATGCTACACACAATGACACAGCATTAAGAACGATATATATAAACATATAAAATGTTACTTGCCAAAATGTTATGGTAGTTAATCGTTTTACTGTGAGTGAATCTTTGTGTTTATTCGACTGTTTAGTCACAAAAATAATTTTCGGTTATATTAAACACCAGGAAACTGCAGTTGTGCCTCTTCTCATTTATATTTAAGGATTTTTAATCGCCAGTGAAAATTGAATACTGGGAGACGTATCATCCATGGATTCTGACGCACGAGGGTCATTTGGCCAAAACAGAAAGCACTGAAAAACTAGGTGTGGTTCCGATAGCTTACTGATCAGGTGTGATGCGTCTTCCCTGCACCTACATTTCATTTTGGACCACAGAGAGGTCACATTTCATGGTTTTATTTGAAACTCTCTGCCTTTGAAAGTTAAATCTCAAGATTTATAATGACATTCACTTTGTCTGACAATACAATCGATTTGTACAGAAAATGTAAAGTTATGGTTGTATTTAACAAAATCTTTCTTCTTTAAGTTACCATAATGTCTCAAAAATCTAAATGTTCTGGCAAACTTCACGGTCTACATTAAATCATTATTAATTAAACAGACAAAACACAACTGCATTGATTTCATTTAATGTTTTTGGAAATAATGCCATTTAACATAAAATCCATATTACATTTATTCGAGTTTCGCTTAGGTTCTGTTTAAAATATCAGATAGGTAATCAAGACAGCATACAAATAAATTATAAAGCAAATTTGTTTTCAATAAATCAACAAAATGTCAACATGGCTACGTAAATTCCAAAATAAGCTGTTCAAAACAAGAAAACTCCAAATTAAATAAATTTCAGAACAAAAGAAACTCTTAAACAGCATTGTGTCCGACTGGCGTGATGTAGCTAAGATTAATTTTACAGTGCACATGACATTGAAACATAATGTACGTCATAGTTGATTTTTGTTAATAAAATAAAAAAGTAGAGCAAAAAATCATTGTATCAATGTAAATGAAATAAAGCGAGTCATATCTCTGCTTGTCGGGGAACCTAGAGCTTTTGTATATCAACTCCCATCACGTCACAAATGTCGGTCATTTATCTTTCCTGTAGACGGCTGGAATCCTAATTATTTACTCCAAGGATTTGTAGAAAAATCACAGCAGGAATAATAAATGTTAAATTATATCGTGTTGCAATTAACCTGAAAACAGACCCCTTCGGCCTGCTTGTTACCGTAACGCTATCAAAGTTTCCAGTACATTTCTTTAACACAATTACGACGTGAAACACAATCCGTATACCGTACAACTACACCGTCAGCAGCGATGAAGACATGAAAACGGAATTTAGCTATGGCATTGTCAAAACTACACACACGCACACTCATACGTGTGTGTGTGGAATTAACATACTGTTTTCAAAGGTTTCAATACGATGCGAAATCATAGCAATCCTATTCGTATTTCTGACCCAAAATCATGAGGTCTTCAGCAAATCGAACGTCATAAAGCCCAGAGTCATCTGTAAATTATTTAAATTCAAATTTAACCACATTCCAGAATGATACACAAACAGGCACAAACTGAAAGAAGATCGTAGTTGTAAAATGATCTAATTTATAATGAAAGCTATGTCCGGGACCTCAGCACACGGTTAGCGATTTAAAAAATCTGCTAAAAACATTTGTCCTCGTTCTTTGCAGCTAAAAGCTAGGATTCAAATAAGTTCGTTTTATAGAGATGAGAAGAAAAAGAAAAGGAGTAGCTGTGAGGAAGGAAGCTTAAAGCATTGTGAACTCTTCTTGAACCGCGATTGGAGTCATATGGTCATAAATCACTGGGACATACACTCCGCCATTCACAAACTGATAGCCTATTTCAGTCCAGCTTACCTTAGCCTCTGACGAGGAAAGCACGGGTAGGCATAATATATTTTCACATCCAGCTTCACAGCAATCAATAAGCAGGAGTTATGTTCTTTGAAATCGTGACGAATATTAAAAAAAATGTATCTGTGTAGCGGCTGCCCACTCCCAAACTCGCAGTTATTCTCGTACAGATTACCTCCGTTAGGAAAGGCGAGACGGTTTAGCATCAAAGATCTGAGGAAAGCTCGGGGCTGCAAATGGACAGGCTGTGAGATCCTGGCTGCCCCGTCGACTGGTACGCCCTGCTCGCTGATAACAATGGCCTCAGATTTCCCCCCTTCTTTCACAGCACAAAGCTTAACAACATAATCCAAATAGAGTCTCGTTTCGTAGTGAAAATTTCCTCTTACAGATAATTTTATGGAGATGGCTAACGGTCGTATTGTCAACACAAGGCCTTTGTGCAATTTTAAAATACCGGGGCTGTATGGAGTACCGGGCAGGAGTGTTAATCCCCATCAAACACAGCGTCACTAGTGAAAAATTATGCTAATTGCAGACGTGGTGGACAGAGGCCTCCGATGGCAAGCCAGTGATTTTTGATTCACGTGTTTCACAGTTCAGTGTCAATCTATGCTAATGTTATTTAGTATGGAGGCAAAGCTTCAGGTTTCCCCTCTCAAGTGCATATCACGTTACTTGCTCTGGCCCGCTATTGACTAGCGGTAGAAACATTGTACTATCTGTGTTGTTTATGTTTCAAGACCCCCCCCCCCACACACACACACAGGGCTCCTATCATAATTAATGCGTGGCATAGCATGAAAAAAAAAGTTTTGGTGAACAGACAACAGGCGGACCACAGAGGCGAGGGAGGGGTGTATAAACAAGAGACAGAAGTATTCTGTGATATTTAACAGATATGGATATGTGAACCACAAAGACGTTTATAAAACGGTATAAAAAAAACTTCGAAAAATTGGTTTTTACCTGTAGGGCAAAGACAGTAAATCTTCATTTCAAAGACAGAAAAGGAAATGAAGGAGCGAAAGCTGAAACGAATGGAAATGCGGGGAATAGCATGAAGGTGTTTCTCGTCCTCCCATTAACTTTGCTTATCTCTCTCACCCGTCTTTCTCCATTTTGTTATTCAGGACACTACCCCTGTCGTTCATAGCCGCACAAGATTTATGACTTCGACCACACGTAGCAGCTGTAAACTGCAACTTTAAAAAGATGCATTTCGTGTAGGTACTCCAATAGAAAGGCTCTTACCCGACGTAGGAGGAGAACAGGGGAGAAAAATGTAGGTGTTTGCAACTTTTTTCTTTAGTATTGTTAGTGACTTTGCAGCTAAAACTAAAGATCGGAAAAGGAAAGGAAAACCTACTACTGACAACATCAAAATTGTGTTTTGCTTTTCAGAGTCAAAGAAACTGGACTACTCGGCATGAACTGCGAAAAATCTGCCTACTAATTTTACGGAAACAGTCGTTAGCCCACATTCTGGATTACTATCTTACTACCGTTTCTTGATGATAGACTGAGTATTTCAATCCATTATTCAAATAATAAAAGCTTCATTCGAAATGTTTTGGAACCGGATATTTCAAGATATTCATTTTTAAAGCTGAAAAAGCGTTAACAGACTTAAGGATGGGTCATCGCAATCCATTGTGGGGATGTAAGATCTATATAAAAGTGCAGCATGTTCGTTTTGATGTAGTTTAACGTGAAATTTTGAAGTTTTTTTTTCGTATCGTTAAAAAAGTGGAATTATAGTTACGTTTAAATAGCATAATGCTGGTAGACGTTTTAATTGCCGGTGAGTGCTTGCGTTACACTTAAGTTCAGATTTATGAGGAATTGATACTTATAATGGTCTGTGCTCCAGGTATAATCTATGTATTGCATAAGTAATGTATGTAATATAGCAGTTCTGTAATATTTAGATAGACGATAATCTATTGACATTGATAAAATGTCAAATCTACTACTTATTCAATATGTTATGAAATTTTATGGGAATGGATGCTGCAAAGATAGAATTCTTAGTCAAGGAAATAAAATGATTAGGTGCCATTTAAGGTAGGGCTGGTATTTACTTTTAGATGACTGCATACAATTATATAAAACAATTCGTTGAGCCATTCCTGTTAGGAAATCTGTCATATAAACAACTATACGAAATGATGCAAATACTCCTGTGCATAAACAATGGACATATGTGTATTAGACACTTAAAAGCCAACTAAAAATAAAATTTAAGTTTGTATGCAGCTGTATTTTAAAGGAATTTACGTAAAATCACTCACCGCTTATGCGTCCTTTATCACGACAAGAGATTATACAATCAGAAAGCTTCTTGATAAGTTGTATCGTCTAGGGAGAAAAAGGCCAAAACATTAAATTGAATGAGAAAACAGAAAAATCTAATAAATGCAAGAAAACCTACCATGTCAATCGAAGTACATATTTATTAATGTTTTTCACTCATCAGAAATTACAGGTAAATTGCTATTTGATTCATTTGAATGAATATATTTCCCAATATATATCTTTCCTTCAAAACGTGTCTTATAATTTACGTGTATGGCCTTTTTATTTCACGTGGGCCATATGCACTCGTACTACGTTAAAAAGTATTTAACGTTACATTGTAATTCATTCGTAATAAGAAAATTCATATATATGCATTTAGTTATTCAAAGACACAGAGAAACATTATAAGGTAACTAAAATATAACGAACTCATATTTCTCGCTAAATATGTGCTACATGATTAATAACGAATAGTTATATACTGAGTATTTAGCATCCATTTGTGTTTTAAAGGCAGAGGATTGTGATTTATTCATGCAAAATACAGAAAATCAGACCCATTATCATGGAGGGGCGTATATCCATAGTCTATATCCACTGTAGTTATAGCTGTAATAATCTATAGATTAAAATACTAAATAAATTGTAATAGTCTCCTTCATATCGTAGTTTGTGATGTAGTGTTTACAATAATAGCATTAATAGAATTATTAGTAACAAATAGACTATAATTATTATTATAGATTTGCATTTTGGATGGAAGAAAGACAACAATCACTAGTTAGAAAATGAGTAGTGTTTTGCTAAAAAAAATTATATAGTACATATTGAAAGTGGTTTCAGAATGATGTTAAACGAAATGTTTCTCTGCATACTATTCATTTCTGTCTATATTATACTTTCATGTATACAATTGAAAACACAAAAGCACACCCATAAACAGACATGCATAGACTTTTCAAATAAATAGACTACATGCAAAAAATCGAAGATTTAAATGTTAAGATGCGGTAGGACGAAATGTCTACCATACTTTGCATACAGGCCTCTTATTAAAGTAAAATAAAACGTCCGGCGCACTTGTGCGCTCAAGTCCTGACAGATACCCAAACACATAAATCAAACAGAGGATTCCCTGACCTCCTCAGCTGTGCGGCCTATAGTGCTATAAAGTTATTTATTGCCTCCACACACTCACAACCCGATTTGGCTTGCCTAGATCCAGCGCGACTATGCTTTACTGCAGGCATAATTCGTTATGAAGTCCGCTCAGCTGATTTTCCGCGCCGATACCACGCAAATGAGTTGAAGCTGCGCTCAGAGAAATAAGTAACTTATAAAATACAGCCTACAACCGCCCAAAGCTGACATTAGGTAGAACAAAAGGAAGGGAAACCTTGTAAAGAATAAGTGATCAGTCAGGTTTTTTTTCTTCAAAAAAGGGCATGGAGCGATTTTAGACCTTCTTAGTCAATGGTTACCATCAAACCTAGCACATAAATTAAACGTCGTCTGTAAATGTTACCAGATGAATGAAGGTTCGATTATTTATGCAATATATAATGATAAAATTCATTGCGTAATCATTCTTACACAAACACATACGCTACTTATACTACACAATCTATGGACATTTTTTTGTTTTAAACTTCCTTTTAATACAACAATGCACAAATATCCGAGAAGATTTGTTATAAAACGACAGCTCAAACTTTATTATAAAGTTCTGTTATTATTACCCCATGCGCATATTTGTTCCAATGTCTGTAGCTACACACAACCTAAAAGCATAATATACCCCCATCTGTGAAACATGCAACGCGAAAGAGGTCTATGTTATTAAACTGTGAAATAAACAGGGGAGGTATGCGGAATGACGGTCTTCATTTGACAGATTTTCGGTTTTTCGAGTGACCATTGCGTTGGATAATAGTAACTCACCAGATTAATGGTCAATCAAATGAAGCACTTTTGAATTGCCTCCACACATATTATAAGTGTTTGAATAAATCCCAGCCTGTTTTCTTAAGCTTTTAAAGAACCCGCATTATGTCTTCTTTTAAAATCAGCGGTTTGCGAAACCCCGATCTCATCCCATTTGGTATGTTATTATGAAGCAGTTGTTAATAGCTCAGTTAGTGACTGGGTGAAACACCGCCGCGAGACGACAAGGCCCTTTCCATCCAAATGCCAAAATAATGCATTGAGTTATGCACTCACGTGACTTCATACGTCAACTCTGGCTCATTTTAAAGGCAGTTCTGAAATGAAGCGCTTTACATGCAGTTGCACCGCAAAATAACGCTTAGAGGCCCATATATATATATATATATATATATATACACACACACACACCAACTGGAACATATATATATATATATATATATATATATATATATATATATATATATATATATATATATATATATAGATATATGTATACCTAAATGCATTACAATTATATATTACATTTACTAGAATATATGGTTATTGTCAGATAATGGGATAATCTATTATTTTTATTGGTAACAGTGTGCAGAGCAACATTACTCTCGATGCACCTTTTCCTCTAAACTACATTTCATAATTTGAGGTAATTGCATGTATACAAAAGACAACTGCAACATAGCCACGCGAGTTCTGTGGCTATACCACGCTGGCTATCTTCGAGGGGTGACCGACCATCTGCTCCCTGACCGTCCACTGATGATATTTATAATAGATTATAGCAGTTTAATAGGAGAAAGTGGAGGAATGCCAGTCTCTCAGATTGCCTTTCAAAGATCAATTACCCACCAGAACTGTGCATATAGCTTTGATCTTCCACGCACGTCCCTCCGAAAAAGAGTACAATCCGTTCATCAGGCCCTTCTTTGGTAGGCAGCTTAATTTTTAATTAAACCATTTAGGTAATCTTTAACCGCGTTCACTGCGTAAGGAGCTATATCGCAGCCAACCCTGAACAGGCGACTCTCAGACTGACCTCCAGTTCCACTTAAGAATCACCAAATTAACTAAATATTAAAATACAATAAAAATGAAGTATATCACACGTAAAATTACAAATTAAATAGCCTATTTAAGGCACGTATATTAGATCTTATGCAAATCGTGATATATATATATATATATACGCAAGCAATTGGAAGATATTGTTGTATATTTACATAAAATTGAATATGCAGTTTTCATATCGGAAACATATTAACCTATAATACACATATAAAACTGAGAGTGACCATTTAGCACGGAAATAGACACGCTCAAAACATTCACACACATCAGCACTTACCTTGTTCTTTACATCTTATTTTGTCGTATAGTACTTTTTTGTTTCTGTCTAAATTGATTCTGTGTTTAGCTCTGTATATAAGCTCTTTTGATATTAAATTTCCTATCCAGAATTTTATCCTATACACTGAATATTATAAGAAACGGAGTTTAACAAGTTATCAATAAGTTATCGATAAATTCCACATACTGAAACAATGGCACGGTCACATCAATAATAATAATAATAATAATAATAATAATAATAATAACAATAATAATAATAAACGTGTAGAAATAATTTCTCGTCATTAAACTGAAAGCGCTGTAACTTACCAGACATATATGTAAACAAAAAACTTATCAGACTTACGGGAAGCACAATACCGCTATGTATTTATGCAACTGTATCTTGTATATCCAGTGACATAACTGATAAATGAGTCTGTTTAAGCCCTATTTGCTCCATATTAAAGACGAAAAAATGTGATATTAAGAATTCCCTCTCTGGTATTTTAATTTATTCAATTGAATTGTTTTTCCAAAAAATAGGATTTATAAAGACACGGAATCTCTGATTTCTAAGGGACCACACAATCACACACACATTCAGGCACACTCGTTACCCGTTCGTAACATTTACGTAGTGTTTATATAGTGTTTTGTCTTAAACATTATGCGTTTGCGAACTGAGTTAGCAGCAAGCGAAACAGAGTAAAAAGAACATGAAATAATAGCAAGGAAGAGAGAGGAGCTGGTTGTTCTTTAACCTCGCAGTTACCTATTTGAATGGAAATTACTTGATGTGCTAGAATTTTTGCTTAGTCTTGTAGGTCATCAGATGGGTCCTGCATAGGTCATACAATGGTTGACTAATTATAGCTCTTTCTTCTGAAACTCATACAGCTCAAGTCAGTCCTAGCTAGCAAGCCTTACCTGTCTGTGTAGTAGTCGAGTACATTTAACAGATAAGGGAGGGCAAATTCTTAAGGCGCCTCTTAAAGCCATGCTGCTTTTATATTACTTATGCATCTTCATTTAAACGTAACAATATTTCAATATCCGGATATTTATAATGGTCGCAGCATGGATTGGGGAGTTGGTGCATCTTTTAAGGGCTAAATGATCATTGATGGTTTCAGGCACAATTTATCCACAAGGCGTATGAGAAACAAACCGCGGCGCATACTGGCACTGAAACACGCGCAAGGACGTCTGCACCAAAAAAAGCGGACATTTAGGAGCGACCGGAGGGGCTTTTTTCTAACCGATTACTTCCGCCAAAGTTTCTGCAAGTTCCAAATTCAAACCGGATTACTGGACTATATTTCAGCTCATCGTCTTGAGCGAACGTTGGCAAGATGGACTTGATGCACAAAAAAGACAATAAAAAGAAAGAGGAATTGTACGGCGGCTAGGTCGATATCGAGGATACATGGTAGCTAAAACCTATATGAACTTCTGTAGGATTACAAGTAGTCATGTTCATCTGATTCTTAAAACAGACTTTTTCCCCGAATTGGATACCTGGGCATACATTTCTGTCAAAAGCTAAGAAGCGTCACCTGCTTAGCACATATGCTGAAGTGCTGAAGACATTAAAATCTATAAACTGATAAGAAAAATATGAATTTTCAATCGGATCTTCAACATTAATATCCGGTTAAATCCAAATCAACCTGCTTAAAATATAGACCTAGTTGCAATAATATATTATAATCACTGAAAAAAAAACACGTTTATCTCTTCCTCGTGACTGGCGCACTTGGCTTTGATTTGGCTTGGTATGA